TGTGTCTTATTTGACGGTAAAGTTTAAGTGACTTTCCCGATCCCATACCTCAAGGGGACGCGATAGAGAGACGAGACGATATTCCCCCCTGACACGTGTGGAGAACCCAGAGAAGAAGAATTTCCCTGTGATACAGGTGTCCGTGTATGTCATGTACTTGTTCATGTAAGCCATGTACGTTTCATATATACCATCAGCTGTCCATATATGCCTTGTACATGTTCATATATGCTATGTAAGTGTCCTTATATGCCCCATACGTCCATATATGCCATGTAGATGTCGATATATGCCATGCAGATGTCCATATATGCCCTGTATGTATTTATGTGCCATAAAGACTGTTATATATACCAAACATGTGCCCATATATGCCATACAGTCGTCCATATATGCCATACAGTTATCCATATATGCCATACAGTTGTCTTTATATGTCATACAGTCGTCCACATATGCCATACAGTCGTCCATATATGCCATACAGTCGTCCATATACCATACAGTTGTTCTTATATGTCATACAGTTGTTCATATGTCATACATGTGCCCATATATGCCATACAGGTGCCCATATATGTTCTAATGTTTTGTATGTGTCATTATATGATCTGTATGTGCCCATATATGCCATTTATGTGCTTACATCTTAGACTCTTTTAAAGATTTTGTAGTCATGAATCTTTGAACTGCCGCCTGGCTGACAAACACCGGGATGTAGTTAAATCCGCCACCTATAACAAGGTTCGGTAAGGTCAGACGAACGCTTGGATCGAAGGAAAAGCTGCAAAAGACAAAACACTCTGTTACTAAACATGAAGTTATTTGGTACTAGTTTTACAAACGATAATTCGTTTCTATGAAGTCTTGTTTAAAATTATGATCGCACGACAGAATGTGTGAAATTTGAGAATGTTCCTATGCGTTTGATGCATAACTTCCGACTTAACATAGAGGATCCAGGATTATTTGTGAAAAGATGATCATACTTAAGAACATCCAGTCTGCCATTTTCGGCATTGTTCTCCCATACATGACCCATGCCACCAGCTTCAGCAGAGCCCATGACGATAACTGCTATAACTGTCACAAGCATAACCATGAATTGAAAAACGTCAGTCCAGATAACAGCTTTCATACCTCCCTGCCATATAAATAAGAACAATTTTATTCCTAATAAATTGAAAGTACTACCCTCAACACATAAACACTTTACAAGACAGACTTGCACCAAATTTACGCACAGCACTAAACGACGCACGTTTTTGTACAATCGAGCTGTCAAGTAAACGGAATCTTATGACCGTTCAATGTTCCGTAATATTGATCATCCAAAAAACAACATACACAACTAAGATATTAATATGAAACAAGAAATGTTAAGAGCTTTACGTACCACCGATGTATAAAACGTACACACTACTCCAGTAATTACAACAGTTTTCCAAACTTCAAACTTCTGAACTGTATAACAAATGTAATTATACATTACCAGAAATGTCATGATCTGGCCTTTTGAAGCAACACTCATTAAACTTGCAATCATATGGTGTTCTGTTTTAAATGGGTGGGGCGTATATTATGTTTAAATGATAAATATTATACATTATCCATTTTAACAAACGCTTAATATGTGCTCACTGCGATATCCCCGTTTTGAATACGTGCTAATATTTTGGAGCAAGTCTTGGAAGCAGCATATGCAGTGGATCATAAAGGGAAACACTCGGTGCGTATGTGGAAACCGATATTTTTATATCAGCACATTGTGAACACTAATCGGGGTCTCGGTTGTGATTGGTGGACGCCACATCTACATATTTGAACATGTTCAAATACTTTGCCTAGTAGTACAAACTAATGGAGATGTCAAAGACAGTTAGAAGAGATAAAAGTGTCTCTGAAGTCTTGCCCTGACCGGCAATGATATATTTGGTAACATATTCCATACCATTCTATTCTATTCTATTCTCACACACTTACCAGCCTCGAAAGCCAATGCGGGTCCAATGAGACACACTGCCATGTAAAATACCGACTGTATGATAAATATAGTTGATGCCAACATACGCAGCGGGAAATTAAATCTGAGTCCGAGATACTGTAAAAGAACATACAATTGATCTTGAGATTCCATACTAAAAAAAAAACACATTGTGATAGGACACAAGTATTTTTGATTGTTTGAATTTATATTATATTATATTATATTATATTATATTATATTATATTATATTATATTATATTATATTATATTATATTATATTATATTATATTATATTATATTATATTATAAAATCTAAATGATTTTTATATTTATGTTTTTTTCGACGCGCGAATGTCCATATACTGGACGAAGAGACATATCCAAAACCATGTGTGATATATTGTGAACTCCTAACAGAGATATGTTTGTAACATGACTTAAATATTTACAATGAAACATTTCCATCTAGTCCAAGACTAGTTTGTTAGGTGCAGGCATATTTAGACTAGCCTTGAAAACGTCCCGGGTACCTTCAGTAAATTTTCAAATTTGAACTACGATTATGGATATGGACATTTCTCAAAGTTGTCTCAAACATGTCCCAAAACGATATAATATTTGTGCACTCTCAGGCTTAAGTGTGAAAATGTAGTCGCGTAACACAATTTGAAGTCAAGTCCTTAAAACACGGCAGTTGCGAGATATTAACTTATTGTGTTACAAAATCGGTAAAGTTGGGAAGTTGTAGTCAAGTGCTTAAAACGCGGTAGCTGGGACATGTCAAGTCTCACAGTACATTGCGGTAAATGGCGGCCAGTTTAAATCAGCTTAACTATACCGTACATAGATCTGACTCTGAGGCATTATTGTGAGCCTTTGTGACATCTGGAGTCGACCATGTAAGATTTGTAAGTATGATCTGGTGGCCTTGGTGCAGCGGAGTTCTGATATGGTAATATTCCACCACTAAGCTGACATTCATTATACCAAATTGTCAGCAGTCAATGCCTGCAGTCATCTGGAACTTTATTTAAGAAGCTGTAGCTATTTATTGGACAGTTTCCATTGAAATCACAATGACAGCCATGGGGCATGTTCTGTTGATAAACATGTGTTTTCAACATACTGTACACATTTGGGAGTGCTACTCACATTGATGTCCTAATTATCAGATTTACTTGATAAATGCAATCTACAATGTATCAATATGATTTCCATCAGTTCATTTGTTATTTTATTGGGTTTTGGCTTTTGTCACTTTTGTTTATTTGGAAGAATTTGTTGGGAATAAATGCTGTATTTTCATACTGATGATAGAGTGTCTCTTTATTGACTGTATTTATGTTTGAAATGTGTCTGAAACATATTTATATTTGTGATATGTTTGAAACATATTTATGTTTAGATATGTTTACAAAGATTTTACATAGAATGTTTCAATCAAGCCCTAAACATGTTCAAAGATGTCTAAACTGTGTATTTGTGTGGCGAACTGTTCGCATCAGTGGTCCGGAATTAATACTAGTTTCAAACTAGTAAATAAAGTGTCTGAAACATGTATGGGACATATCCTAAGTATGTCTCAGACACAGTAACCAGACATGTATCAGACCAGTCCCAAACATGAATGACACTAGTTGCGACTTTGTGATGATGTCGCTCAATATTTGTTTTTACCTCGTATGCACTTTTTATATCCAAACCATGGAATACTGGTACGAATAGGACAGCCACCACTGGATACACCCAGATAAAAGCTAGTAACAAGAACACATACATAATACCATTGAGGTAAACCTCTGCCGGAGTACCCAGAATTGTTATCGGGGACATGAACGACACAAGCAGCGACATAGCCACTGGTAATCCTCCCATTTTTTGGTCAGCTAGCAAGTACCTGCAAACAACATAGGAAGAATTACAGAAAAAACAGTTGAATTACCTGCATGTATGCCACACCTTAGATGAAACACTGCATGCACGGAATCTTATTCGGGGACGACCGTGTCATGGAATCTTTGATATTTTATTATACCAACATTTCAATTTCTTGAATACATCGTTCTGATTGGCCAAGAGCGTTTTTAATAATACAAGCTGTGGTTAGATAGACAATATACTACTATGTGTTAATTAGAAGTAGATCCGAAATGTGAATAACACACACACATGTATATATATATATATATATATAGCAGTTATATATATGAATATATATATTTACGTGAATATATTTATGTATATGTAATTGGAGATATACAAGAATGTTGTAGGTGAAAATCCAACTTTTAATAATATATTCAGGGTGGTAAATCATACCCTCACAAATCTGTGTAATATTTGAACTGCTATAATTGCAGAGATCTACTACAACTATCTCAAAACAGTAATCAAAATGTTTCTTTCATATTATTAAATTTGCATTGGGTGGATGATTATACAGATTGGCCATTCTCATAGCTTGTGTTTTTGTATGTAGTTAGTCGTATTTCAAGAGGTACTGGTAAACAATGAATAAGTATGAAGATACATTTTCCATTGTATACTATACAAGTACAAAATACACATTTTATAAAACGTAAAAACAGTTTATATCTTTCAACCAATCATTTCACTTGAATTAATTATGTATATCTATAAATACAATTCACAATGGGGTATTGACAACATTGGAATCATTTCCCACGACTAGGATACACAATTAGGTTAGGCCCGGGGATTGTCTATTACTGCCACTGCATTGACCTCTAAAAGTAACAAAACATTGAGTGGCGTATGTAACAATTAGAAACCATTATAAGATGGTTTGAATGCTTTCAATATCTTCTAACAGGTTTATCTGCAACCCTTGACCAGTTGAACGGATTATTAACAAAACACAAATTTATGGTTTTCTCTTGTATACAACACTGGTATTTCCAAGAATACACTTACCGAGATGTAGTGTGCTGTCCTCCATTGGCGAGAGCATGATATATACCAGTGAAGGCTGAAACGGCTAACATGGCAGCGAAAATTACTTTATCTATCGGATGAAATGGAATGGCTTCTGTAGACATTTTGTAAACGCAATAATAGCAACTGTAGTGTGGATTCTGAATGAAACGCAACTTGTATTTATATCATGCTGTGGTTGAACACGATCGCTAAACCGCTCTCTAGTTTGTACACAACAGCACAGTCGTACACTGATTGGCTAAGCCTGATCACCGATTGTAATACCCCATTATTTGATGGACTTAATAAATAAACACACCTTAGACATATAATATGCAAGGCAACTCACTCACTGAGACCTTCGCTGTCAAGGGTCACTTCTCGGGTTTATCTTTACTCAAATGGCTTTTACACTTTTATACACTACAC